CATCCACTTCAATATAAAAGCTTCGAGTTTATCATTCTTAATAGCTGAATAATACTCCATTGTGTAAAAATACCACATCTTTTTCAACCATTCCTCAGGTGATGGGCACGCACATTTATCTTTATTCCAGTGAAGGTGAAGGTGTTTGTTGGCCCTTTTGTCAAAGACAATGTGGCTGAGTATATTTGGAGTTGTTTTGTATCTTTTAATATCTCCTAATCTGTTCCACTGATCCTCATTTTGTTTTGATTTGTTTTGCCAGTACCATGCTGCTTTTTATCTTGGTAGCTGTGTTGGTTGCTTTCTTATTGCTGAGACAAAACACCCAGCAGCCAAAGTTAAAGGGGCTTCAGTACATGAACAGCCGGCTCCGAGACAGGCTGGCACATGGGCAACAGTTCCTAGAGGAGGAAGACAGCAAACGCAAAACAGCAAAGGCAAGCCTCATTCCTTCCTTATATTGTAGGCAGGCTGCCTGCTCAAGAGCTGGTATAGCACTGACACCCTTAGTCACAGCCAGAACTAAATCAAACTAATCAGTGGGCTGATTTAGTAACCATACACCCTTAATCTGAGCATCATGCACATCTGGATTCAGCCACCTCTGAAAGTGCCCTATCTAAGACTGTGTGAGGATTTGGGGGGGACAGCTAAACACAAACCATAACAGCTTTGTGGTATAATTTCAAGTCAGGAGCCAGACGTGTTGGTGCACACCTGAAATCCCAGCAGTCAGGAGGCTGAGGCAGGAGGATCACTGCAAGCTCAAGGCCATCTTGGGCTACATAGTCAGTTCAAGGCCGGCCTGGATATATAGCAAAACCCTGTCTCAAAAAAAAGAACAATAATAATAATTATTATTATTTATTATTTCAAGTCAGGGACTGTGATGCCCCTTGGCTTGCCTTTATTGCTTAGATTTGCTTTTGCTATTCTACGTCTCTCCTGGTTCCAAAAAAATTTTAGAATTGTTTTTTCTGATTGTATAAGGTATGGTATTGGTATTTTGATTGGGAATGCATAATTAAATGTGTACAGTAATTTGGAAGCATGGCCATTTTCACTATATTGGTTCTTCCTACACAAGAACAAGGAATAGCTTTCCATTTTCTGATAACCTCTTCAATCTCTTTTTAGAATACTGTAGTTTTCATTGTAAAAGCCTCTGACTTTTGTTAGATTGATTTTAACTATTTCATCTTTTTCAGTGCTATTGTGAGGAGGTGGTTTCCCTAATTTCTTTCTCAGTGAGTTTGTGTAGAAGAATGCTGATGATTTGTGAGTGTTGACTTTGTATACAGCTACTCTTCTGAATTTGGTTATTAAATCTAGAAGTCTTGGTAGAGTTTTTGGGGTCTTCATATCGTCTTCAAATAATGATAATTTAACTTCTTCCTT